AGAGGACTTAGCCTGGCGGATAGAGATGTAATGCTGATGGTTAGACAGGTAAGAAGTCAATCAAGATTCCAGAAACACCAAGAACAGAGCCGTGAGATGAGAACACTGTGATAGTGTCAAAAGCAGAGGAAAGATCTAACAGAATTAAAATGCTAATAGGTAAATGCTAAATTTCAGGCTACGCAGTTAAGAGAGCGAGTAGTTGAAGGCCCGATGGAGCGCAAAGATCAACAGACAACAGCAGACAGAGTGGTGTGATTAGGATGAATAGCCAGCGATGAATAAGGGTGATCCAATCAGAGTTATAATTAGGGATGCACCGATATGAAAATTTTGCCCGATAACCGATAATCCTTTATTTTTGAAAGCCGATAACCGATATGTTGGCCGATAAATCTATATCCAAATTTTTATATACTTTTTGAGAGCCTGATTACAAAAAAGGTCTCATCATTAAAAACCACATCCCAAACACTTCAACATAAGCAGCCTAGTTTGAACGGTGTATGTTTTAAAAATAATTTTACTCTCCCATTACCAAATTTAGTCATAAAAAAGTCTTACAAATAAAATAATGCCATGGTAAAATAACAACAGTGAAGTCCAAACTATGATCCAGTAAAGTCAGGTATCCAGAAGAGCAGGAGAGGAGATGAAACGATAGACACGAAACACGACACGGCAAAACAAAGCAAATGAAAAAGTTCCAGCAAAAAGCGGCAGCACAGGGTATTCTCACCGGAAGTGCACAAAGATGTCTCTATGTCTAGATGTCTTTAAGATGTTTATGATTTAGAAAGTATGTAAACTGACATCTGAAAGACGTCTAGCAGATGCTTTCCAGATCAAGCGATCTTTAACAGACCTCTTGCAGATGTTGTATTCTGGCCTGCTCGGGTGGAGGGACAGACACAGAATTTTATCTAAAAACATCTTTAATGCGCAGATTCATAGACAAGGCTTAAGCCTGGTGCAAGACTGTCTTAACTGAAATTAACTTGCACTGACATATCTTAAAATGTTATTGCCATTGATTTGTATCGTGATGCACGCCAGCAATGTTTTCTCTATGGCACATTTAAAAAAAAATTTTTTTTTAAACTGCTTGAATGTTCTAATTAGTGCTGGGCGGTATGACCGAAAATTTATATCACAGTATTTTTCAAAATTATACCGGTTTCACGGTACATGACGGTATTTTTTTTTAGGGATGCACCGATATGAAAATTTTGGCCGATAACCGATTATTCTTTATTTTTGAAAGCCGATAACCGATATGTTGGCCGATAAATCTATATCCAAATTGTTATATACTTTTTGAGAGCCTGATTACAAAAAAGGTCTCATCATTAAAAGCCACATCCCAAACACTTCAACATAAGCAGCCTAGTTTGAACGGTGTACGTTTTAAAAATATTTTTACTCTCCCATTACCAAATTTAGTCATAAAAAAGTCTTACAAATAAATAAAATTATGCATAAATAATGCAAACAAGTCACTGGACATCATTACACGTGTAAAGAATCAAAATGAATGCGCCATAGATCAATAAAACGGAATAGCCTCTGCACGGACAATAATTAAATGATTTTAATTACTAAACCATATTGTTGATGAAAATAATAAGAGAACAATACAAGTGGTTGTTGTTATTAATAATGTATCAATGATTTTGAAAAAGTAACAAATTAATACCACTGTTTTAAATAGCAGCCGTTGAGCTGCGCGTGCTGAAGCTGAAGAGCTGAATGAACATGGTAAACTGAAGCGTTTTGCTGGCAGCTTATTTAACTCAAGGAAATGCATCCTGAGATTAATATTAATACAACATAAACATAATATTACAACTTATATATGTACAAAATGATGCAGTTATTGCGTGCTATAGTCAGAATGTGTGATCCTGTTGTGGATGCGCTCTTCCCATATCAACGCGCTGAAACACGGCAACTAAACCCAAAGAATTCCCAACGTTTTATTATAATAATGTTCTCATTAGAATGTTATATACACGACATTCCCAATCATAGTTATTAATGTTGTGCACTGCTGTTTGAGCTGCGTGTGCTGAGCTAAAGATGATCACCGGTAAACTGAAGCGCTCTTTTAACTTAACCAAACGCATTCTATATGAGATAAATCAGATATACATCAAATAAACACAATATTACAATGTACAATTGCACAAAAGGCTGCAAACGAACAGCGCGCATCTGAAGTGTCTCTGAAGGAAATAATGCATTATTTATCGGCTTTAAGATATCGGCCAAATTTTTTTATCAGGCCGATACCGATAACAGAAAAAATGAGCATTTATCGGCCGATACCGATATGGTGGCCGATATATCGTGCATCCCTAGTTATAATCCATGGTAAAATAACAACAGTGAAGTCCAAACTATGATCCAGTAAAGTCAGGTATCCAGAAGAGCAGGAGAGGAGATGAAACGATAGACACGAAACACGACACGGCAAAACAAAGCAAATGAAAAAGTTCCAGCAAAAAGCGGCAGCACAGGGTATTCTCACCGGAAGTGCACAAAGATGTCTCTATGTCTAGATGTCTTTACGATGTTTATGATTTAGAAAGTATGTAAACTGACATCTGAAAGACGTCTTGCAGATGCTTTCCAGATCAAGCGATCTTTAACAGACCTCTTGCAGATGTACGTGTGCTATCTGGGAAGGGTCTGACCCAATACACACATGTGCGGAGAGCGCGTTCACGCAACAGACTGTGCAATGGTGTCTTTACACAGCTGAATGAAGTTAATCAGTGTAGAGATGCATTGCTGCATAAAAGCCAGGCTAATTTATGCCTGCTCTGACACACCTCAGCGCCACACACTCTTAAAAATGAAGGTTCCAAAAGGGAGTTTTTGCAGTGATGCCATAGAAGAGCCATTTTTGGTTCCCCAGAGAACCCTTCAGCGAACAGTTCCTAAAAGAACCATTTTGAAGAACATTTTAAGATTCTAAAGAAACGTTCGAAAGATTCCATGGACGTTCAAGGTTCTTCATAGAACCATTGATGCCAATAAAGAACCTTTATTTTTAAGAGCGTAGTATCAAAGCATACTTGTAATTCCTGTAAATGTCTTTAACAGACCTCTTGCAGATGTACGTGTGCTGTCTGGGAAGGGTCTGACCCAATACACACATGCGCGGAGAGCGCGTTCACGCAACAGACTGTGCAATGGTGTCTTTACACAGCTGAATGAAGTTAATCAGTGTAGAGATGCATTGCTGCATAAAAGCCAGGCTAATTTATGCCTGCTCTGACACACCTCAGCGCCACACACTCTTAAAAATGAAGGTTCCAAAAGGGAGTTTTTGCAGTGATGCCATAGAAGAGCCATTTTTGGTTCCCCAGAGAACCCTTCAGCGAACAGTTCCTAAAAGAACCATTTTGAAGAACATTTTAAGATTCTAAAGAAACGTTCGAAAGATTCCATGGACGTTCAAGGTTCTTCATAGAACCATTGATGCCAATAAAGAACCTTTATTTTTAAGAGCGTAGTATCAAAGCATACTTGTAATTCCTGTAAATGTGCATTTATGCAAGAAGGCTTGATTTTGCCATTGGTAACAGCAGACAACAGACATTTAATTGTTTGATCAAAATTACTGCTAGGGACAATCGAGTAGTGTCTGATATTGATAGGATCATGTTATAGCATCTCTACTAAACTCTACACCCTTGAAAATCATAACAAGCGATGTCCGATTTTGGAAACTATAGTTCTCTCCTTAAATATGAAGAGCTCAAGCAACAGGTTGAGTTACTCCAAATTTCACCGAATGTTCTGGACGTGATTCTAATATAAGTCAGACACTGAAGTGAGCTGCTGTTTTTGTCTCTTCTGAAGAAGATTCATTAAAGGTTCCAAAAGGGAGTTTTTGCAGTGATGCCATAGAAGAGCCATTTTTGGTTCCCCAGAGAACCCTTCAGCGAACAGTTCCTAAAAGAACCATTTTGAAGAACATTTTAAGATTCTAAAGAAACGTTCGAAAGATTCCATGGACGTTCAAGGTTCTTCATAGAACCATTGATGCCAATAAAGAACCTTTATTTTTAAGAGCGTAGTATCAAAGCATACTTGTAATTCCTGTAAATGTGCATTTATGCAAGAAGGCTTGATTTTGCCATTGGTAACAGCAGACAACAGACATTTAATTGTTTGATCAAAATTACTGCTAGGGACAATCGAGTAGTGTCTGATATTGATAGGATCATGTTATAGCATCTCTACTAAACTCTACACACTTGAAAATCATAACAAGCGATGTCCGATTTTGGAAACTATAGTTCTCTCCTTAAATATGAAGAGCTCAAGCAACAGGTTGAGTTACTCCAAATTTCACCGAATGTTCTGGACGTGATTCTAATATAAGTCAGACACTGAAGTGAGCTGCTGTTTTTGTCTCTTCTGAAGAAGATTCATTCACTTGTTCGCCAGCGAACCACACAGAGACATTCTGATCAGATTTATTTCATGCTCATCTGATCTCATTTTGTAAGTGACTTTTCTTTGTTTTAATGGTGTTGTCTTTGGATTGTTTGACTACTCAAGAGAATATAACTTAATTTGTGGTTTCTGCTAGCTAAATTTCATATACATAAACAAAAGTCCAGCTCTAAACCTCTCTGTACTTTATTCTAGTTGGTCTAGACGAGTACATGGAAATGATCCAAAGTTCTGTTCACCCTAAAGCAGTGAAACAGCATCTCTACATTTATCCTGTGTGTCCGCTTAAGATTAAAAACAAATGGTTACTATAGTTAACCCATGGTAACATACATTAACCATGGCTTTGCTACTCTAACCATAGTTTAACCATGGTATTTGTAGTACTTTCTTTGGTTTGTTTTAGAACTGCACTGCCTAACTGGTTTGACGTTTTGAAAAAAGATTTGCTAAACGCTCTGAAGTCCTGATTCCAGACACTAATACTGAAGGACAGAATAATCTTCTCAAACACACACCAGACACAGACGGACAGGTTCACTCGCAGCATTTATTACAGCTAGAGATGATGATGATGATGATGATGATGAACAGCGTCCGTCATTTCAGCAGTCTGACTCTGTCTTTGAGGATCTTAAACTTGGGGTTGTTGTTGATCTTTCTGTTGAACAGAGACAGAAGCTCCTCTTCCGATCTGAAGTTTGAGTCTCCAGTGAACGAGTGATACGCCGCTAAAACCTGCAGAAACACAGAGTCAGCAAACATCTGGAAGAACACACGACACGCTCAAACAGACTTCAGTTACAGCGTCTCTCTGAGATTCTTCAAGTTCAGCTCACCTTCTTGCGGAGTTTCTTGACAGCGAGGCCGTCCTCCGGAGCGTCTCTCAGAAGCGCCTTTATCGTCCCTTTCCAGTTAAACTTCCCTGAGAACCCGGCGGAGTTCAGAAGATGCTTCATCATTACGATCAAACAGAGACTGAACTACTGAATCCATATATACGACACGTGATGCTATCAATCACGACACACTCAGAATAAAATATTATATTTTTACCATGGTATTGAGGTGCTATATTTGAGGTTTTAACTGTGATTATCATGATCTAAATGTATGCTACTATGGAAGACCAATGGTAAAACAACACCTCAAGCGGTCACATATAAAAATGAGATTGCTACAAGTTTTCCAGATATTACTGATTTTGATAATGAACATAGATCTACATCTAAACTCAAGCTACTATTAAATGTGTATTTCTCAGAGACAAAACAAATGTTATATTATTAATATTATCAGGAAACACAAATTGTTTCTTGATTTGAAATAATATTACACATTAGAACATGCATTTTTTTCTATTAAGATATTTATTTTAAGGAAAAATGACTGGAAAAGTGTAAAGAATTCAAAAACGAAGTGTTTGCCGTGTTCTGACCGTAAAGAATAGTTTAAAACCACAATTAAGCGTCTGGTTTTTACAACTTTCACATTGAAGCAAAAATCTGCCTTTAAACTTGAAAGAAATTAAAATGTGACATTTATCGTGATAATTATCGATATGGACTGATATGAAATGATCATTGTTTGGCCACATCGCCCAGCCCTACTCTTGATATCAAACATTATTATTATTACGGTGACATACCTGTAGAGTTGGATTCAGACTCCTGGTTCTCTGGCTCCTCCCCCTCCGGATTCAGACTCTCTGATTGGTCAGACACACAGGAAGTGAATAAGAGGTCACGAGGACAAACCGTGAGTACGGCACTAACACGATGCTCACCGCCAGACTCCTCCTGTTTTCTTTTCTTCTGTTTTTTGCTGCTCTTTTCATCAGCGTTCTGTCCATTCTCCTCTCGTTTCCTCTTTTTTCTCCTCTGCTTCTCGTCTGTTTTCTCTCCGTTCTGCTCCTCTGAAGTCTTTCTCTTGCTCTTCTTATTTTTCCGCTCATCTCTCTTGTTTTCCTTCGTCTCAGCGCCGTCGTTCTTGCGTTCATTCGCCGTCTGATGGTTGCTGTTCTGAAACATCATGAAACAAGAGCGAGGGAAAATACTTCAGCTGCACACATCGTTTTTATAAGCTTATCGTACACAGAAAAATAAATAATAAAAATGTCATTATGTAATAATAATAATAATGATTTTTGTAAAATGGTTTTGAGTTTCTTCTGCTCACCATGACTGCATTTATTTGAACAAAAATACAGTAAAAACAGTGAAATATTATTAGAATGTAAAAGCTGTTTTCTATGTGAATCTCTGTTAAACTGTAATTTATTTAGTTGTTGAAGTTGGTGTGAAATGTGATCTGGATGTAAAGCCGCGCTGAAGAAGGTTAGACTCTTACGCTGTCGGTTGAGCAAATCTCCCAGACCTTCTCCAGTAAAAACGGGGTGTAGATCTTCAGACAGTTCTTCATCCAGTTCTGCATGTGAACAAACCAATGCTTAATGATTCAGCACTCGCTCATCAGACCGAACGAATCTCCGTCACAACGGTCTCAGATGCTCACCTCAAACTTGGCTCTCTTGCGCGGCACGTTATCATGAGTGCTGACCATCTGCAGGACCTTCCACACGCTGGGATCAACGTCGGGCTGCTCCATGGCCTGCTGGATCCTCTGGAGAAGAACAACACACGTGAGTGACCAGACAAACCCATCAAACCATCACAGACGTTCAGCTCCGCTCACCTGAATCCACTGCTGCTGCTTCACATCACCCTTATTCACCTTCGCCTGGAAGTCTTTACCGCCGTACTTCTGGTCTTCACTGATGCACTTGTTGTGGTTCTTGTAATCATCACCCCTGTGAACAAACACATCACACGCTCACCGTCATCACGCACGCTCACCGTCATCACACACGCTTCACCGTCACCACCACACACACACACGCTCACCGTCACGCCACACACGCTTCACCGTCACCGCCCCACACACGCTTCACCGTCGCCCCCACACACGCTTCACCGTCGCCCCCACACACGCTTCACCGTCGCCCCCACACACGCTTCACCGTCGCCCCCACACACGCTTCACCGTCGCCCCCACACACGCTTCACCGTCGCCCCCACACACGCTTCACCGTCGCCCCCACACACGCTTCACCGTCGCCCCCACACACGCTTCACCGTCGCCCCCACACACGCTTCACCGTCGCCCCCACACACGCTTCACCGTCGCCCCCACACACGCTTCACCGTCGCCCCCACACACGCTTCACCGTCGCCCCCACACACGCTTCACCGTCGCCCCCACACACGCTTCACCGTCGCCCCCACACACGCTTCACCGTCGCCCCCACACACGCTTCACCGTCGCCCCCACACACGCTTCACCGTCGCCCCCACACACGCTTCACCGTCGCCCCCACACACGCTTCACCGTCGCCCCCACACACGCTTCACCGTCGCCCCCACACACGCTTCACCGTCGCCCCCACACACGCTTCACCGTCGCCCCCACACACGCTTCACCGTCGCCCCCACACACGCTTCACCGTCGCCCCCACACACGCTTCACCGTCGCCCCCACACACGCTTCACCGTCGCCCCCACACACGCTTCACCGTCGCCCCCACACACGCTTCACCGTCGCCCCCACACACGCTTCACCGTCGCCCCCACACACGCTTCACCGTCGCCCCCACACACGCTTCACCGTCGCCCCCACACACGCTTCACCGTCGCCCCCACACACGCTTCACCGTCGCCCCCACACACGCTTCACCGTCGCCCCCACACACGCTTCACCGTCGCCACCACACACGCTTCACCGTCACCACCACACACACGCACACCGTCGTCACCACACACACACGCTCCACCGTCGCCACCACACACGCTTCACCGTCACCACCACACACGCTTCACCGCCACACACACGCTTCACCGTCGTCACCACACACGCTTCCCCGTCACCACACACGCCACACACACGCTTCACCGTCACCGCCACACACACGCTTCACCGTCACCGCCACACACACACTTCACCGTCGCCACCACACACCCCTCAC